GATTCATTCTGGCCTCCAAAATCAGTCAGTATACTGTGTGTGTGTGTGTGTGTTCCAAATTGTGATTCCTGAAATATACCTTAATGGATTCTATATTTATGGTTACTTAAACTAGAAAATGTAAGATCTTTTTAAAGGAATTTCTTGGGAATAAATATTTATCAGTAAATTTTGATTTCTCTTAGTTGAGGACTAAACTAAAGCATACTAAGAGCCACTGAAAAGGCTTCATTATTTTAAAGTCCACCAATGACTTGTAAATAACATCAACATTTCATTGTATACAATAAGTACCAGATGCAAGAATAAAGACTGTTGGTATTCATGACTCATTTTCAGTATGAGCCTACTCAATTTACAGTTTCAATAATTCATGATAATCACTAACACAGTGAACATTTACTCTGGCTGTTACCAATGTTTAAGCTGCAACGAGTGGATATTATCAGAATTGAACAACCTATGCTAGGTAAAATAAAATGTTTGTCTCAGTCTGGTGTACATTGCTGAGATTCCTGGCAAACACAGGCACGTATGGAGATGAATGTCTTCTGCTGTGTAGTCTACTAAAAATTAACACGACGTTTCGGAGGTAGTTGTTGCCTCCATCATCAGGGTTTGAATAAGATTTAAGACAATCCTCTCCACAAGAAAATATTCTGAGGCACTGATAACACGAGACACCACAAAGGATATCTTCGTACATTAATGTTACCAGTTCTGAAAATCATCTACATTTTTTACCTTATGGACGTTTCTTCTGACAGCGCTGGGGACAACTGTAGTAACTTGAGGGATTCTAACGATTTTAATAATTTTTCTAAAGATGCCATGATTTGTGTGTTGTTTAAAAAGAGAAGACCTTATCGCAAATCTCGAGCACAAAGTGTGCTTCGCTATTGAAGGTCCTTACAGTGTGCGTTTAACATAACAAAACATAACCACTCCTTCCATATAACTAAACATCCTAACTGTCATTCATCTAAACAGGCAGAAACTGATAACAGCGTTACAATTCATTGCCTTCATAGAAACTTGAATCGTTTGCCACATGCTCAAATGACCATTGCGAATACAACGAATAGTCCTGCAGGATAAGCGAACACCATGCAGCAGGCCCAATATATAACCTCTACACAGGACTTGAACAGGTCCAACAACACAGATAATATAAACATACAGGAAGGTAACATTGTTCTCAAATGAAAACGTATCGCATATATTCACTGCCATCTATCCGCAACGGTATTTGAACTACAAAACGACCTAGAAGTAGCAGCCTCTACCAGGAGCTCGCTCAGTCAATAGAAAGGTTGCCTACTATCCAATTCACATATTATCCCTCCCTTTTCACAACACAGCAATAATTAATTTTACAAACCTGATCCCTGGTGCTGCAGTGAAACTTCCCCCGCTTTTAAAAATGGGTCTCTCAGTTCACTTCTAACCATCATATGCAAGAAGTTCCTCATAAATTTCAAAGTTCTTCTAAAAATTACTTCGTCAAAACAAGCACAAAATCACTTGAATGTAACATAGTGGACCATTGTAAAATATATCAAAGGTAGGAAATGTTGAGGGCAGTAACTTGGATGAAAAACACCTTTTGATAAAATATTTACATTCAAAATCATAATTTTTGCTCACTACTTGCACTTGGACTTATACATAACAATGATTGTCATTTCAATGGTTTAACATGACTATATATTGGAAAGATTCCAGATATTAAACAAATATTTATTATCTTTACAAAAAAATACAATTTCTTGCTCAGCCATAGCATCAGAAGTATGATTAATTGATGATCTTTGTTATGTATCATTTCTGATGTTCATAAGCATTTAATCTCAAAATAAAGAAACACACTCTCTTATATGCAAAATAAAGTCTCTTTTTATTAATCTCCTCAATGATTTCAATATGGCATTTAAAAATAGAGCCTGCAGTACAAAATTAAATTATAAAAAACAAAAGAAACACTATCCCCTCTCTATGACAGAGGAGGAGGATGAACACAATCATATTCATCATCACCAGTGATCACCATCATGGACTTCAACAAACAACTCTAGCTTTGATGAGTGTTAACCCTTTAAAGCCCAGTAGTTCTATCAGCACCAATATTAATTATCTCTGTATTTTGTCTACAGAGTATTTATGGGTTTTGTACGATTCTCTGAATAAATAGCAACCTTGTAGATGGCGATAGCCCTGATGATGGAGGCAGAAAGGACCTCTAAAACTTTGGCAAGCTCCTACCAGACTACACGGAGCTACAACCCGGAAGACAGACATCTTTGTATTCACAACCGTGTAAACCTCAAATCCTGCTAAACAGCTACCGTGGTCTACTCTAACCCCAATGTCTTAAAATGAATCGGTTTTGGTTTGGACGGAGGGAGATTTCTGTACGAAGAAACGGTGATGAATGTAATAAACAGGTAACTCGTTATCCGCGTTATCGAATATCTGCGGTTCTATTTCAGTGAGGAGTTCAACATCCTATCTGCGGCAAAATATTAAAGATTGTTACCGGCGTCGAAACTTATCCAGGCTATCGGGAACAATCTATGTAGATTATCAGATTAGCATCCAAAGATTCTGGTACCAGTTTAACATCAAAGTGGTGACTGCTATACGTTTCCCGCTTCACTCGTTTTCAATATACACGGCGATTATACCGCGTTCCAGCGTTTTTGGCCGCTGAACTTTGTGAATTGGAACATCGGAGCGAGTCACTTACCAGAAGTTTGCTGGAAGGGATGGCAGCAGGCCGCGTACAGTACTCTCCAAATAAAATATCACCACGGTATGTAACACAGGAAAATCCTTCGAAAGCGTGACGAGAGGACACCTTAAGTGTTAAAATATCACCAAAATTTTAAAAGCGTGACCAAGCGTGAAATTATAATAATAATCTATCATCCTAGATACATTTTTAATCGTTAGAAGTAATCGAACAAAAATTTTAGTGTGATTAGTTCACAGAAAATTCAGTTTTCTTTCCTTTCCCAAATGTTGTGCGAAGAATTGTAAAAAAAAAAATTGAAGGAGAAAAATAACTTCGGTATCATGTACGTCCTTGTGCACCTACGCAAGAATATTTGGCTCTCCAGGGAAGTCTTCAACCTTGTACCCCTGACGTTTCGGCATAATCAAAATGTCGACTTCACTACAGTAATATAAAATACTTTTATCAAATATTGTCGGTGGTATACGAGGTGCGATCGGAAGGTTTCCAGACTGCGCGTATAAAAACCCGTACACTTATCTCAGGTATTAAATTCATCCATCACCCTCGAAGTAGTTCCCCTGGGAGTGAACACAACGATCCCAGCGC